TTTGTTAACTTTGAGTATGTACAAATATTTCAATGAATATATTCTGGTAAAAAGTATGTAATATAATAAATTGCATACAAAAAATCATTTCATGATTAAATAGTTACAAACAAAATATTTCTAATACATACATCTTTGACTCTAACTAAATAATGTCATAAAAGCCATCAATATGGGCTTCACGGTTTCTTAACATACGGATTTCTCAAATTCTATAATGTATTAAAATTTATTGTAAAATTTACTTGATTTAAGTGCCACATTATATTGTCTTTGTTTTCTAAATATAAAGATACATATGAATATCTCTAAAATAATTGTTTGCAATGTTGCGTAAAATCTAAAATTAATTTTTTATTAGACTTTTAGAGACACTATTAAGAACTTATGAACTAAGAAATTTATAAAATCAAATTTAATCAATTTTCTAAATCAGTATATGTATTATTTATTTTAATAGACACATGAGTACGTTTTCTAATATGCAATGATTGTAGTATTGATCTTACAATTGCTTATTTTAGTTATTCTATAGCAGATATTTCATTTAAACTAAATTTTTCACTCAAAATAGTAATTGATAATCAAATAATCAAACCAAAATAGTAAAATTTTTACGTATAAGTAGAAGTGCGACTCTGGAAAAGCATATATCTTGTTGTTCCGAGAATTCATTATAGGTTTAACTCTATTTATGGTAGGACTTCTTACAAGAAAAACAAATATTATGGCCACTAATTTAAAATCCTCAGCTTATTTTTAATTAAATGTGATATTTTCTTATTGGAAGTCTATTTTAATAATTAAGCTGCAATACATAAATATGCTCTATTACATTGCAGCCCGGTGCTTTTTATATCTTATATATATATATATATATATATATATATATATATATTTATATATAATATATATATATATATATATATATATTTATATATATATTATATTTATATAATAATATATATATATATAATATTTGTATATGTGTATGTGTAAATTTATTTCAAAATTATATTCCGAACATTATTCATTTAAAATATTAAACGTTAAATTTCATCTTATATTCTCAAGCCAAAGCTAAGCTCAATGAACTTCATAGTAAATTCAGAATCAAACAGAGCTTAGTATTTGCAAGACAAATAATAGACCTACATTATCTATACTTAGCCGAATACAAATATCAAAAACTATCGCAGATTAAATCGAATTACCTCAAATTTATAATTCCGAATAATTTTCTGTAAATGAGATAGGTAGAACATTGCATTTGCAAATAACTTAACTGAAGTTTATAGTTTCCTTTAAGTATAAATATATAATACTTTATTTAAGATACTTTTGTTGAAGAAAAGTAAATGAAATTTATATGAAACATTAAAAAAAAATAGAATCTAATTTACTAATGGTTTGCGGTTATCATTCATTATAATAATATAATTACATAGGTAACAATTATTAAAATAAATTAGACAAGAATCATAATTTTTTAGAAATTTAAAATTATTCATAAAATTCTGGCAATGATTATAACAACGCTTAGTTAATAATTTTGGATACCTGAGCTTTCAAATTTGTCAATTTGTCAAATTTGTCAATGTCAACCATTATTTATAATAGCATTAAAATAGTTATAACTATATAAAATTTGAAAACAATAATGTAATTAAAGTCATACTTCAAATATGACATGATCGGTTTGTCATTGTAATTAGCATTTAGGACTTGAAGCTTCATTAGAGAAATTAAGCAATTGCTGATTATTAAATTCTACAATATTTGTTCACACGGTGTATTACTAAAGAAATATTGTTTTCACAATTTCACTCATCATGTAATTGTGTTTGAAGAACGTAAAATTAACATACATTTATTGACGGCTTGTATTTTTTTTACTTTTTCGCTGGCAATTCATTTTCATTCATTGAGCAGCAACAATATCTGTCTTGCCTATAAAAATATTTTTCATTTTAATAACTTTAAAGATATATAGAAACTACAATAATATAGAACCATTAAACTCAAGTTTCTTACACGACACAAATGTTTCGTTTGTTTTATTATTTTCATTATAATTATTTAACGCAACTTCTGTTAGATTTTCACAGATTTACTCCCGCGCCTAAAAAAGTTTTACTTCAAAAATCTTTGATTCTATCTTTTTTTATTTTATATATTTTACACGCTTATAGATTACAGAATATGTACGTAATTACCAACTAGTATTCATAATTATCAAATAATTTTCGTTGAAATATTACCATTTTCTCATCTTGTAAAAATTCAATAAAAAATATTGACATGTTAATATTTTTGTGTCGTACAGATTTTTTGAATCTAATAAAACACAAAACTACGTATGTATCAAATAGTTTTTAAAAATGCTTTGATTTTAAGAAAATTTCTGTCTCCAATCATTACTGTATCCTTTTTTGCTCTATCGATGCATTTGTTTGCTTTTGCAACATTTCTCTAGAAAATTTCTTTCGTTGGTAAAAAATAGAGGTATTGCACAAGTATTATGATTATTCTTGGTCGATTGTTGTTATTGTGTCCTTAATATTAAACTGAAAGTAGTTGTACAATGAAAGAATTGCATGCGAATTTCCTGATATAGGTATTTTTAAACATGATTCTTTTCAATCTCAAATTCTTTGTTAATAATAATATCTTTATATATGATGATTACTTAAAAATGGAAGAATGAATATTAAGAATTAAATTACGTACAAACTTTTGGTTGTATAATTTGAAACTTCGTTGAGTGAACGGTGACGGACACGATCTGTCAAAGTGAAAAATTTCTTTTCGGCGAGTAATTATACTAAAATGTTTTCGTAATGTAGATGAAGATGTGATGGAACACGGAAAATTAAATTCCAAAAGCTCTTATTAAATAATGATGGAAAATATTTACATAGATTAGTAGGCTGAGTATTAAGTACAAAAGTCAGAGTACCTAACATAAATCACTTGCGGGAAATCATCATCGGGAAAGTTTTTTCCTGAATTAGATTGAATTAGAAATTTTAGAAACTAAAAATTCTATTACTTATAAACAATAACTAATAAATAATTAACAACGTTATTTAATGTTACATCCAAATAAATTCACGACAGCTAAGTGAATAGCACTTTAGCACTCATACAATAGTATCTCACTTTTAGTATTTTTCAATCAAAGTTATATATTAAAAAATAATTTTATTTCCAGATTTATTTAATTTTTTTATTAATTGTAGTTAATGTATATACCAATACACTATCAATATAAATACATAAAATAATAAAGGTTTGTAGGTAAAAAGGACCACTACCAATATTTCAAAAGCAAGTAAAATTAAGAATTTTTTACCAACAATATTTGGAAGTAGAGAGTAAAAGATGCATGGAAAAAAAAGCCAATGTTTGAAAATTTTTAACAAAAATATTTTTATTCGTCGTTAGTTTTTTGGTTGGTTTGTGGTTGTGAGCACTGTTGTTTGGTTTTCGAAATCTCAATATAAATTTTAAGTATATTTATTTGTTTTATAAGTTTTATTGTTATTTTTAAATTTGATTCAATAGTTTTTCAAATATTCTCTTTGCGTGGGTGGGGTAAAAAAGACCAGTTGAACCTTCACCCTGGCAGAGGTTTACAATAGATAAATCAAATTAATAGTTACTCCAACTCTACTGGTAAATATTACTGACAAAGTACCAGATCTAGGTTATATACAGTGCTGTATTTGTAAAAAATATGCCCACAAAATTTATATCTTTGGTTGAATAATATAGCTATTTTTTCGTAAAATTCTTTTAAATTTAAAAATAAGATATTGGATCTGTTTGCTCCCTGGCTATAGCATTTTACCCCATGAGGTAAAAGTCCCAGGCAACAATTTTTTTGAAAAATACTAAAAAAATATAATTTTATTGTATTTTATTGAGTTAGATAGTAGTTGGTTTGGTTTTCATTATATAATTATCAAAAGTCAAATTGGGCCTTTTTGCCTCGTTCTACCCAAAATCGTGGGTTTCATAAGAAATGCAAAAACACAATGAATGAAAACCAGGAAGTGCCAAATAAATACAAGCAACAAAATAAACTTTCTAATCCTTTAGGAAATGTAAATTGCTTTATATTTATCTATGAAATTATTACTTTTATTCGTGTATTTTATTAAAAAACTATGTAAATCAGTATGGTTTTTACAGGTTCCTTATCTGCTTAACCACTTTATCCGAATATATAGATTTCATATTGTTATAAAATCGATTACTATAACAAATACTTCTGAATGGAATGGAAAGGTCATCATTTTCAAATAACATTTTGTGGTCTATTAATTTTATCTTATTCAATGTTTATTGAGATCAATATTGATTTCTATTTTACTATTGAAAGGATTATTTGTTGGTACTTGATCAATCAAATTTATATAGATACGCTCTTTTCTAATTTTCTGATAAACATTAAGTGAAGAATTGCGAAAAAAATATTATCAGGACTAAATGTAATGCATTTTTAATAATGCAATTTAATCATATCATTGGTCAAATATGGCATATCTAAATACTACTGGTGCACATGCAAAACACATTAGAAACAATGGATAATTTTGTCCATACGATCGTTGAATTCGCTCAATTTCTTCAAACACTAAAATCGAGATTTTTAACATATTTGTAATTGCAAATATTATTCAAATTGATTAAATAAAATTTCATCTATAACATTTACTATTTTAACGATTCGCATTAGCTTATTATTAATGTTACATATACATAAATTTCTTAAACGAACGTATTTTTCTCACTACTTAAGTTATCTGATTCGAATAAGAGTGAACTCAGTTTGAAAATTTGAAGATTAAGAAGTATTTTTTCTATAAGAGTTGTTTCAGAACTGTTAATTAATCCTCATTAAAATAAATCATGACATTATAGTATTTCTTTATTTTAAATATTGATATTGTTTAAACAATACAATAAAATATTTACTTAGTCACTTATATGCATTATTTGTAAGCATCTTTTACTTCTTGATAATATTTACTCTCCGAGTCTGAGCCAAGTTTTCCGAACAATAGTTCATATTCCAGATCTTTCTCACCAGAATCAACGTGTACAGTTGTCTCGAAATTGGATGTATAACTGAATGTAGAACTATGTGAACTTTTCAAATGCTGAAATAAATAAAAAGGATCGTCATTTGATAAACTTAATAGAAAAATTACTTATTTGTTACTAGATGGTTTAACCGGTTAATCCGAACGTAAAAATTGTATCTACACATACATATGTACATTTTTTCTAATGTATGGCAAAAGAAATCTTTGAAACGTAAAAAATGCAAAAAATTTCATTTAATTTTTTTTACAATTACTGTAACTTACCCTACGAGAAGTTATAAATTATGATCAAAATCAATATATTCTTTATAAGTTCAATAACTCACCTCGGGAAAAAGTGGATGATTGGTAATAATCGGATTCACGATTGTGCCTTGGGAGGCAAGAACATCAATCGACTGAGTCAGATGGAAAAATGTATCACATATGTATTTAAATCGCCTTTGTTGGACTTTGGCAGTGTAATCTGAAAATTATATTCATATCAAGTAATAATTTATTTAAGATAAACTAGCTTTTAATGTTGATAATTTGAGGAAGCTCATTTGACAATAAGTCGAGACCGAAGTATCAGTAACAGTCTATTTGCGAAAAGTTCAAATTTAGCAAGATATAAAATCTGTTTTTGCACTCATATAGTTAAATTTATACCGTATAAGTTTTTCCCATAATAATTTGACAAATTATGAGAATAGTTTTTTTTTCATACTATTTGCATTATATTATACAAATTACTACATTATTTTTATCATATATGGATTATATGTAACAATTATAACAAAAACCTGTGGGGTGTATGGCATTAAGGCAAATTGCTGGAACTTCCCGTACCGTAACGAAATGTTCGAGGAATATTGAATGTTTTCAAATAGATTATTTTAAATATTGTAATATTGTCTAATATTTATAAGAATTATATAAACTGAATTGCAAAGTTGAAATTATTTGTTTAAGGTATATTAAAACTTTGGTCAGAATTAAAAATAAAATCTGAATTATTTTCGATATACAAAAAAAAATTTTTTTGAAAAAAAAATTTTGTTTTTGAAAAAAAAATTGAAAACTTTTTTTTCAAATCAATTATTGTGTTAAAACAAGCAGAAAGTTCTTCAAATTTTTCAAATCGGGCGCTTAGTCCTCACAAAAACTACCATTTTTTGCACATTTAGCTCTATATCTTTGAAATGGCTTGGCCTGTCTTTGCCAAAATCTAATAGCCACTTCTCCCAATCATTACTAATTGAATGTTTATTAGATCATTCAAATTGGATGCTCCGTTCTCTCAAAAACTTGATATCTATTTTCTGCACTCTTTGCTCTTTATCTCCGTAACTTCTGGACCTGCCTTTGCCAAAAACTAATCAGCACATCTCTCTATCAACAGGAATCGAATGTTTCTTGAACCATTCAAATCGGTTGATCCGTACGCCCGAAAACGTGGACGAAAAAATGCGAACATACAAAATACCAAAATGTTCAGAAACCTTTAAAACGCCGAGAAATGCAAAAAAAAATATTTTCGATATTTGGCCCATTACTATAACTACCCTACGGGAAGTTTATAGAGCTTTACACTCTGTATAACAATTTTATACAAATTAGTTTTTGAAATAAAGATTTATATTTAACTGGACCTAGTTAAAATATTTTCTACTATTGTTATAAAAAAAATAAACTCAGTTCACTCAGTCAGTTTATATGATATATTATAGAAGTAAGAACTCGATAGATAATTGCTCTTGGATTCAAAATTAGCAACGTACAATCAAATTAAAAATCCTTAATTAATTAATTAGGGATAATCGATAAAAACAAAGCTCTATACATTAAAAAGAATTATGTTATAATTTTTCAGAACTTCAATAATTGTGTTTATTTACTTTTATGTATTTCAATTATATTTCAAACATAGAACAAAATAATATTACTTCTGAAACTTGGAAAGATTGTCTATAAAATATTTTAAATAATTTTGCCGTGTTATTGGCAACTTTTTTCTGTTATCTTCGTGATATTAAGCTAGAAATATAATATCAATAGTGACGTAGATATTTTTTATGCATATCTGATATTATGTCCAAATGTGTAGAACATTTAGAATGGTTGTTGTACATATGACAACTTAAGCTTTGCAATTTGTAAACAGACACTTATTAAAATGATTCGAGATGACAAGTAAAAAATTTACCAATTTTGATTAGAATTCGAATTTACCGTCCAAATATGATATTGGTCTCATATAATGGTATCATAAAGATATTAATTTCAAATCACATTTATATGTATAGCTATTTATTATTAATTATCGCTTTTCTATTCTGGAAAATTATAGTTTAACTTACCTACGTTAATTTTTTCTTCAATATCTACCAAATCGTATACTTCTAACATACAACTGGTATCATCTAACATTCTCCATTCTTTAGAATTATTGTGCACATGCGAGCAAACGGGTCCCTAATTAATACGTATAAAATATTAGCTGAACGTACTTTTATTTTGGCACAAAATTGTTGATTCATAGTTTTTCATAGGTTTAAATTTTCTTATTATTTTGGTTGCGTCCCATTAGATTTAGCATAGTTAATTTACAATTTAGATTTATAATTATTTTCTATATATATTTTACAAACTTAAAATGACTACCAATGAGTAAAATTTTAAAATATTATTTTACACTTTATAATAATTAATAAGTCATAATAATTACTGAATGCCTTCTAGGCAGTTGTAATTGGATGGACATAAAAAAAAATTGTTTGCATCTCTTTAAAATCAATGGTTTAATCAATAAGCTATTTTTATTACCATACCTTTAATTTTTTTTCAAATTTTACCTGCAAATTTTCTATACAAGTTAATGTAGTTTGTGAAGTCCAATCATCTTTAAAATTTGAGCAATTGTAAGCGCCCCAAAAGCCTGCACCATTGCTCAAATGCTGCAAAAAAAATATTTTTTAAAACCTTATATAATAATTCAATGTAAAATTGCTATAAGGTTACCAATATTCCAAATAAGATTACCTCGTTTTCCACATATTCGCAGATTTCATTTTCATGCAATTCTATTTGTTTTGAAACTTCATTTGCTTTAACAATCTCATCAGACATACAATCTTGAATGCACAATATTAGGATTGTTAAAATAAGATTTCTGAAAACTTAAAATCATCGAAATATTATTAAAATAATTAACGTCATTAAACGTTTTAACTTTTTTAAGGCAAAGTTAATTTTGTCACCAGAAAATCGGAGCTGCTAATTTATTGTTTTTCTCAATGTTTCAAGTCGTTCTGAATGGTTTGAATCCGAATTTAGAAAAAGGATGTGTATATATGTGAGCAAATTTATGTCGTTTTGTCGACGTTTTATCAAATTGAAAAATTATTTTAAACCTTATGTTGAGCACTATAAAACCCAATTTCACTGAAATGCATAAAATGTAAAACCTCGCCGCTAGATGGCTTTAAATACAACAATTGAACGAAATAAAAAACAACTTTGTTCTTTCAAAACTAGCTTAATATTATTCCTAGAACACTTTATCAAACAACGATTTATTAAGATTTTTTTCAATATTATTTTGTTCATTACATGATTTTCGTTAAAATTGTGTATATTTTAGAAGATATTTGCAAAAAAAAATAAGAAAAACGACAAAAATTTATGAATTTTTAGTAGCCAGTAACTTGAAAAGTATTAGTTTTTTTGAAAAACTTTAAGAAACTTTTTTTTTCTTATAATTAGTTCTTCTATCGATATCCGGCGTTATTTTGAACAAATAAAATTACATAACTGAGAAGGGGTGTTATTTTCCCAGGGGGTGGTGGCAAAGTCCGAATTGTTTCCACTTTTAAACTTGAGGGTGAGATAAACCTAATTCCAAAATTTTATGCTAATCGGAGCACAGTAAAAAAATCAGACCCAAAACGCTCCATTGACTGTTGTAAAGGACTAGTTGATTAGTTTTGCACGATAATCGGCCTTAACGATTTTTTTTATTAAAATAAAGTATTAAAATACTTTATTAAAATACTTTATTAAAATACTTTATTAAAATACTTGCAACATATAAACAATGATCTTTAAGAAACAAACTATTTATATTTAAAAATAATTGAAATTAACTAAATATAAATAAGTTTATAGTAAATAAATGAATAAGCAGTAACATAATAAATCAAATTATATTAAATTTGTAAAATATTGACATGAGCCTTATAATAATATTATTTTACTGACGGCTTGTGAAATTAATAAATAAATAAATAAATATAATTATCAGAAAAAGGGCAATTTTTTGTCAACGTTTTAGCCAAAAATCCTACACCAATTTTCAAAAGTTATAAGAATAAATACTATTACAGATTTTATAAATTTGATCGAAAGATGTCAAATAATATTTGCACTGATTAGTTGTTAGTAAAAGCTAAAACATTATTTTTTAAATAAACAATTCAAAATCTGTATCTGAAGGTATACGCAACTTGGCCTAAGGCCAAATTCTACTCACTTGATTTTTAAATTATTTTTAAACAAATTTAATATGAATATGAATATGATTTTTTAAAAAGAGATAATTTTGGTGCTACAGATATTTTATCAGAGTGTCCAAGTTACATTTAATTTTTTATATTTTTTTTTAAATTTACCTTTCATTTTAAAATAAAGTTTAGCACTGAACTTCAATACAAGTCAAATCACATTACAATAACATTTCTAAGTTTTGTGTGTAAACTTTTCAACATTCAATATTTAATCAATCACATTGCTTAAACAAATCGATAAAGAAAAAATAATATAAATCATTCAATCGACTCAAACGATGCGTGAAGTATATCAAATTGTTGAATATGTTTTTTTAATTTATATGTACCAAGCAATTTAATATAGCCATTGTTGAAATATTGACATTGTTGAGCTGGAAAATTGTTTGCATGGTTAATAAATTTATTTGAATTTCAATTTGTTTCTGTAAATATTTTTTGTGCGTTGAAATTTGATTGATTTATATAATCGAACCTCAATGACTCTGAGTAGATATTGTAATTATCTAAACGGAGTTATAGTCTTTTAAATAAATATTTATTAATAATAATTAATTTTCCAATAGTACACGGTTTTTCGCAACTTACAGTAAATGAAACTTTCAAATGAAGAAAAAATTCTTAAAATGTAATGTATGTAACAGTCTAAATTGATAATAATAAATCGTAATTTAGAATACAATAAAAAAAACAAAAATACTTTTTGAATTGTATTCTTTATAATAAAGAAGTTATTATTATAACAGAGGTAAGATTTTTTTTTAAAGAAGTAACTTATCGATTATTTAAAAATAGGATATAATTTAAAGTTGAGCTTTAATAGCTAAATTGAAACATGGGATAGTGCAAGGTTTTGCACTATCTGGTAAATGAGTTTTAGAAGATTGATTTTTGCAAAACTTTAAAAGAAAAAAATAGGTCTTTGGGTCATTTTCAACTAGAATTATAACCATCGGGCCTAATTTATTTTACTTTAGCAATCCCTATAAGGATTTTTATGAAATTGAATTTATATTTTGAACTTACAATTAGTGGTTTTAAATGTATAACGAAATACTATTGAGTTATTATAAATTTTTTAGAATCAAAATACAAATTATTGTATAAATATAATAAAGAGAGAAAATAATAAATGTAAATAATGAACTAGTGGTGTATGGCATCGTGCCTTAAGACAAATTGCTGGAACTTTCCGTACCGTAATGAAATATTCGAAGAATATTAAATGTTTTCAAATAGATTATTAAAAATACTGTAACTTTTATTAGTCGTATTTCATAGACAAAATATAAGAGCTTATAAATTGAAGGTTGGCGTTTATATACATTTATATAAGAAGTAAATAAACAAAACTCAATCAATAGAATGAGTCATATTTCTGAGAATTACATAAACTGAATTTCAAAGCTATAATTATTTATATACCTGAAAATAAGTGAGCTTTAAAACTAATATTAAAATCTAAATTATTTCCGGTAATGAAAAAAATTTTTGAAAATTAAAAAAAAAATTAAATAAAATTGTTCTCACAAAAACTACCATTTTTTGCTCTTTTAGCTTCTTATCTTAGAAAAGGCATGTCTTTGACAAAAACTTCCTTCAACGACAAAAACCCTTCGTCATTTCAAATTGAATGTTTTTTTAATCATTCAATATTTTGCATTGTCCATTTTTATTTGAAAATACAGATAGGAAATCTGCTTTCAATTGAAAATAAGCCCATTTCGGGCATTGCGGTGTGAAATGGCAATGGAAAATCTCTCACACTATTTTTCACTGAAGCAAGTTGGAGTTTAAATTTTTACTCAGCTGGCGGTTTTTCCCTAGAGCAGTACCACCCTTTATATATATACATATATATATATATATATATATATATACATACATATATATACATCAGCTTTGTTTTCCTACATGAGTGCAACTTCCTATTATAAACGTAGGTTACACAGCAATTTCCATTATCTACACATACATTTTTTGTTCGACCTTACAAAAAGAGTCCACAAGTGTTTGAGACTGTATTTTCCTGTATTTAAGTGTTTTTATTAAAACTTTTAATTTGTTTGGGAGTTACTCTAACATCTGGGTACCCGTCCACGGTTTCTCAAGCGTATATCGAAATAAATAAAAACCCATTCTAGGTTAAAGTTTCAAATTTACCAAGCTTGTTCATACTCCATTTCTTGGATATTTATCTATAATATCATGTTATGTGATGATAATAAATAGTTCAATTAAATATTGTAATATTTTTACTAGTAACATATTTTAATCACATTCTAAATGTTTAGTTGCTTATTTATAAATTATATTTTGATAAACTTTTTGTAGGATTTGTATTAAAATGTTCATATTATGTCGTAAACAAACTATTTTAATAATATATAAAGAATTGATATAATTTATTCAATTAAATAAATATTCATCTAAATTCTTATTCTTATAAATATTTTCAACGTTTAGTAGGGGATACTCCAGGAACTATTGAAACCAAGCAAAAAATGTTTTATACGCTTTTCAGTAATTACTTTTTTCTTTGAATTTTGCTTTTTACTGTAAAAAGTAATTTCTGTCAATTTTCAAATATCTGAAATAAAATCACAATCTAATGGTGAGTGACATTTTGCTATGAGGCCAGTTTCATGAACTACTCAACTTGTCTACTTATCAACCTGTCTATCATTCCAGTATATCAATACCAGTATATCAATAATAATATCAAATAGTACTATACCAGTATACCAATGTATTTTTTTATTTTCATCTATTTACCTAATAACCTGTTTACCTGGTAACCTATATGTCAGTCTACTTGGTTACCTGTAAATCTGTATACCTGTCTACTTGTCAACCTTTCTACCCACCTCTCTCTATGTTTATCTGTCTATATATTTACTTGTTTACCTGTCTGCTTGTATATCAATATATCTGTCTACCTGACCACCTATCCATCTTTCTATTTGTTTTCTGATTATATGACCACCTTTCTATCTACTAATTCTATTTTTATTTGAGTCAACAATAATGATTTCTAATGATCATTTTTAACCACCAAATTCCGATTTTTTCATTTTTTTTCCTGCTACTCCAAAACTTGATTTTTGCACTTTTTGCTCTGTATCTTCAAAATGGCGAAACCCTAAAGCAAAAACTGACCAGTACATCTCTCCAGTAATAGGAGTCGAATGTTTTTTGAATCATCCAAATCGGTTCTCTTAAAAACTGGCATGTTTTTGCTTTTTTGCTCCATATCGCCGAAAACGCTGGACCTGCTTTTAGTAAACCTAATCAGCACGTCTACTTAACAATAGAAATTGAATTCTTTCTGAACGAAACACATACACACACTATATTAATTAAAGAAATGGCTTTGAGATTTTATATTTAAATGCTTTATCAGTTTAGTAATACAAATAATGACTTGATACTCATTTTTAAATGTCATTTTAGCCTCATATTTTTCTTTAGAACTGTATCTCCAAAACAGCTTGGCCTGCCTTGTTTCAGACCTAATGGGCATAGCACATTTAAAGTAAGAATATAAATTTCTGATCGATATTATTAGTTTTTATTATATCCAAAAAACAAGCATACTTATTAAACTATAATATATAATCTGGGTTCGTATTTAGTACATTAAAAATATAATTTGACTTTGAGATCAAAAAGTGAATATAATATGTATGAATAAGGTGTGAGTGAAGTATATGAGAATTTTCTTTTATTTGTGAATAGTAAAGGAATTTTTTTTAATTATCTATTTACAAAACATCATATCAAATTTTGGAATTTTGCGAATTGTTCCACGGTTTAAGATTTACCTAATAATAAACTAGCACAAGTACTAATGCTACTTAAATGGGATCATATAGTTATTTATGTAATACCTCGCTAAACCCAGCAAGGATATCGTCCTTTAACTAAAATAATTTTAATCTGACAATATCAAGCTTATAGAAGCCATAAAACATAAGAATTAATATGCTTCCTACATTTTGTACATTTTTATTCACGTTATAGTGAGTAACATTATGTGAAATAACTAATGCAACTATAAATGATATCGTACATTGTGGTTGGCATGTAAATTGGTTGCAATTTACTTGCAAAATTTATTGCAATTTATTACTGACTACCATTAATATAGTCAAGAACTCACAATAACTTAAATTTATATTAATAGAAAAATCTTTGTTATTCGGACAACTTAATTTTTTATCTCTAACCAAAAGCGTAGTTTTTTATATCATATTGAAGATTATTTATATGTTAATTAATGAATATAACATTTATAATAAATGCTTCTTTATGGTTGTAATAATCAGTTATGTAAAAAATGTTTTATAGCGACAAATTTTATGAGAAGAGCCAATTATTAAATTTATGACAAGTTATTTTCAATTTAAATAAACAAATTTTCAAATTGTTATTTTCTTTAAACTTTCGATTTGTTTTAATTCATTTCAATATATACTTTATTATATTATATTAACATTGTTTGTATGCTTAGGCAATAGATTTGAGTAATGATTCAGTTAAAATAATACAAACAATTATTCAGTATGTAACAATGAATACTATATAGAAAAACACGTTCGCGAACGTGAATGCTATAGCATTCATTTTATTGTGATGCAGAATGAAATGAATGCTATAGCATTCAAATTTTGATGTCAATTATTTTGTTTATATCAATTATTATACCTGTTAAAGTTATGTTACTATCTGATTCTTAAGGTATTTTCGTATTATCTCATCTTTTCTCCCAGTTTCTAAATTAACCTGGGCATGCACATTGCGTAAAATAGAATAGTTGACGTGGATGCTATAGCATTTATAGTATATAACGATTGAAATATGATAATCTGACGACCCTTATAAATGGTGTTTAATTAAATGTTGGATATTATAACCATTTTAAAAATAAAATGACTCAATTTCTTTATCTTGCTTAAACTTTTACTGTCCGTGAACGTGTTAATCAATTTCTAACTTCCCGTAGGGTAGGTTATAGCAATCACAAAAAAATCGAAAATGAAAATTTTTATATATCTTTACGTTTCAAAGGTTTCTGAACATTTTGGCATACCTTAAAAAAATTGATGTATGCGTGTTTGTGTGTGTGCATGTGTATGTATGTGCGGACACAATTTTTGTCGACGACTTCGAGAACACGGATCAACCGATTTGAATGATTCAAAAAACTTTCGGTTTCTATTAAAAAGGAG